TCCTATATATTACATGTGTACACATGCATTTGATTCCACTAGTGAGGAGGCTGACAGGTCCCAAGATTTGTGGGGTAAGCAAGCAAGCTGGAGACCCAGCAGAGCTGATGGTGTACATTCCAGCCCAAAGCCAGCAGACTCAAGACCCATGAAAAGCGGATGTGTCCGTTTGAGTCCAAAGGCAGGAAAAAGCCAATGTTCAAGTTTGAAGCCACCAGAAAGGAGAAATTCTCTTTCATTCAGGGGAAAGTCGGTCTTTTTCTTCTCTTCAGGCCTACAAATGATGAGAGAAGGCTTACCCACATTAGAGAGGGCAATCTGGTTTACTCAGTCTACTGATTTAAACGTTAATCTCATCCAAAAATATCCTCACAGAAACACCCAGAATCATGTTTGACCAAATATCTGGGCAGCCCATGGCCCAGCCCAGTTGGCACATGAAGTGTTCAGCATAACCCCCACAGTCTGGTGGGTGAAGAGGCAAGGGCAGTCAGGTCACTGGGGCCACTGGAATTTGCAAGGAGCAAATAACCAGGGACATGTTTAATCTGTGAGGAAGCGGCCATCTCCCAAGACGCCTTCTTCCCACTCTGTCCAAGAGAGGATCCTAGCTAGCTCATCCAACTTTCATGCAAGACCATCATGCAGTTAATGATGTAAAGTTGTTTGCCAGTAGGCATCTAGTAAAATGCCTACAACTTAAAAAATAAGATAATGTCACGTCCTGATGGGGCAGCTGGAATTTTCATCCACTTCTGGAGGGAATATAAAGCCACTTTAGAGAACTATTTGGCAGTTACTTTTTCTTTCTTTCTTTTTTCCCAAGTGAGAAAGCAGGATTTACTGAGGACAGAAAGACTCCCATAGTGGGAGGGGACCTGAAGGGGTTGCCCCTGGCAATTTCTTATAAACCAGAACACGCACTTACCCACACGACCCAGCAATCCCACTCCTAGGTATTTACCCAAGAGAAATGAAAACGTTATGCTCACACACAGGTCTGTATGCGAATGTCTGTAGCAGATTTATTCACTGTTATCAAATACTAGAAACAACCCATGTCCTTCCATCAATGAATGAATAAACAGCCCATGTGACAGAATAGTATTCAACAATAAAAAGGGACTCAACGATTCACGCAAATCTCCAAAGCAGTACGCTGAGAGAAAGAAGTTAGTTTTAAAAGGTGATATACTGCCAGGCTCGGTGACTCAGCCTATAATCCCGCGCCTTTGGGAGGCTGAGGTGAGTGGATTGCCTGAGCCCACGGGGTTGGAGACCCGCCTGGGCAACTTGGTGAGACCTCATCTCTACAATTAATCAAAAAATTAGCCGGGCATGGTGGCGCGCGCCTGTAGTTCCAGCTGCTCGGAAGGCTGAGGCGGAAGGATCGCCGGAGCCCAGCAGGTCGAGGCTGCGGTGGCCGGGAGCGGCCACTGCACTCCAGTCTGGGCGACAGAGTGAGACTCCAACTCAAATAAATAAATAAATAAATAAAAGGTTATATACTATATGACTATTTACAGGAGATTTTCGCGAAGACAAAATGATAGTGATGAAAGGCAGTTCAGGTTTCCAGGGGGGTAGAGGACAGGTGTGAATATAAAAGAATACTGTAGGGGATATTGGGGTATTGGGGGATATGGGAACTGTTCTGTGTGTCCTGATCTGGGTGGTAGCTACATGACCTACATGTGCTAACTTTCATAGAATGACACAATCCTCCTTCAATATCACATTTACCATATGACAAATAAGAGTTTCTAAAAATCAGACGGGGCTGGGCACGGTGGTTCAGACCTGTAATCCCAGCACTTTGGGAGGCCAAAGCAAGAGGATTGCCTGAACCCAGGAGTTTGAGCCTGGGCAACTTGGCAAGAACTTGTCTCTACAATTAAAAAAAAAAAAATTAGCCGGGTGTGGTGATGCTCGCCTGTAGTCCCAGCTGCTTGGAAGGTTGAGGCGGAAGGATCATCTGAGCCCAGCACTTTGAGACTGCGGTAGCTGTGATCATGCCACTGCACTCCAGTCTGGACAACAGGGTGAGATTCTGACTCAAAAAAAAAAAAAAAAAACCCAAAAAATCAATTGGTAAAAAAAATAATGATGCCTTTCAATTTATGCACAGGTGCACAATAAATGCACCTCATGGGAACGATCTGCAAAAGGGGGTTAGTCAGCAAAAATTGAATCCAGAAATACCCACGCAGGCAGGAACGAGAGGGGCAGTGACTCACAGGAATTGCTAGAATATTTTGGTATTGAATGAGGATAAGTGGCACTCTTGAGTCCCCGGGCACACCCTGGGACTGCTCTGAAAAGGCAAAACACTTGTGATTTGTTACATTTTTATTTCAGGCACTTTGTATTCATGGTCTTAAGGGGAGGAACTGTAGGCTTAAAGACAGAAAAGGATTTGTCCTGGATTTTGATCCCGGTTCTGTCTGGTTCCCAGTCCCTGTCACTGCAGCCTGGGGCCTCCCAGAAGCCACAGTGAGGATTACACCACGATTTGTCCCTTGGCTTCTGCTGTACCCTAAGCAGGCCCTTAATCCTCTGTTCTTCCTTTAAAGCCCGAGTTTCCAAGGGGGAGGGAGCAGATTTTGTCCCCAAGGAACATGTGGCAATGCTTGGACGCATTTGTGGTCGTCACAACACAGGGGACAGGTGCTGCCCACAGCCAGTGTGTAGAAGCCAGAGAGGCGGCTAAACATTCACCATGTACAGGACGGCTGCCTGAATGAAAAGCATCCAGCCCAAAATGTCACTGGTGCCAAGACCAAGAACTGCTAGTTTAAAGGAAGGAAGGGTGGGAGGGAGGGAAGAAGAAAGGAAGGATGTATGACACTCATCCTTGAGCCAGCACTGTGCTAGGTCTTTTAAAATTCTTCTCTCATTTATCTCCCCAACACCCTTTTCAGGTGAGTATTATTAACCCAATGTCACAGTTAAGAAACCTGTGACTAAGACCCATCAAGGGCCGGGCTCGTTGGCTCAGCCTGTAATCCCGCGCTTTGGGAGGCTGAGGTGAGTGGATTGCCTGATCCCGCGGGTTCAAGACCCGCCTGGGCAACTTGGCGAGACTTCATCTCTACAATAAATCAAAAATCAGCCAGACGTGGTAGCACGTGCCTGTAATTCCAGCTACTTGGAAGGCTGAGGCGGAAGGATGGCTGGAGCCCGGCAGGTCAAAGCTGCAGTGGCTGGGAGCGGCCACTGCACTCCAGTCTGGGTGACAGAGTGAGACTCCAACTAAAAAAAAAACAAACAAAACCCAAAACAAAACAAAACAAATGACCCATAAACGAATGCACTCAAATCCCCAAAATGAGACAAGATGCTGTGGGGACCACAGGCACCTGTGACGGCAAAGCCCAGGTCCTTACAGCACCCTGGGGGCTGGCCTGGCCGCTCTGCAAACCTCCTTTCCTTTCCTTCTCTCCTGCTCTTACAATCCACCTCCTACCCCTGGGAGATCTGCAAAGAAGGGGGGGTGGGGTATTGGGTGGGCAAAAGGGTAAGTCTGAATTTGAGAGGTTCCCAGAAAATGGATGGGGCCTGTCACCTCTAAGAACCACCAAGCATTGGTTCGTCCTGAAATCCTCTTTCGTTCCATCCATCCCTCCCCACTCAGAGCACTCGCTTCAAGCCTCCATCCCCAAAGCCTAGAGACAAACCAGCTGTGCACCCCGGGTTGGCTCCACCCCACCCCCACACCACCAGACAGGAAGACAGGGGCAGGGAGGGACGGGAGATGGAGACTATAGCAACGCAACAAACAACCCATCACAATCAGTTTCCCATAATGACATCCGATGGGCAGGGCTTGCCAGGGAAAATCAGTGACTTGCTTTAAAAACAAGTCCTGTCATCACATCTGAGTGAGTCTGGCTCAATTTTACCCATTCATGCAATTAGTGTAGAGAGTTCCACCAGTTAAAAATGTGTGTGTGTGTGTGTGTGTGTGTGTGTGTGTGTAAGATAAAGGAAGGAGAAAGAGATAAGGACGGAAGAGAGGAAGAAAGGGAACAGAGGAAGAAAAGCAGAAAAACAGAGGGAGGACAGGAAGAGGGTGAGAGGAGAGAACATACAAGGAGAACCACAAAAGAAAAAAACCTGGAATTTATTTATAAAAAATTGTGTACTTATTCTGGGATGACAGGCTGAGCTACCATGCCTGGCTAGGAGAGTTCAAATGGTGAAAATTGACCAAGTAGGTAGGGATATTTCTTCAGTCACCTTTGCTTGATGCAATATACCTATAAGATGCTTTTTCCACTGATCACAACAGTTCTTGAACTCATCAGTTCTGTTGCCTTTTAGTACTTCTGTTGCTTTTTGTTTCACCTCTTCCACCTTGGCCAAACGTTTCCCTTTGAGGACTTTTTTCATCAGGGGAAAAAAAAAGTTGCTTGGAGAGAGATCAGGTGAATATGGAGGGTGGGGAATAGGGGTCAGGCTACTTAGGGTCAAAAACTGCTGAACCCACAGCGCAGTGTGGGCGGGAGTGCTTGGAGATCGGCCATTATGAAATGGGTAAACACATGAAAGAATCTCCAAAGAAAAGAAGCCGAATGCAGCCTCTGACAACAACACTAGCTAGTCCACTGATGCCGATGGGTTCCAAGAACACTCACCTAGTGAAGAAAGCCTGTACTGTAAAGGCGGCCGCCCTCCAAAAAATAATTCCATTTTGGGGGGTATCCCTCTTTGTATGTTTGAAGCTTAATGGAAGACTCAGAAGACAGATGCACACAGGACAAAGATGAACACCAGAAGTGGTGAACCCCAAGACCGGGGACCCTCTTCCAAAGCAAATGGCACCACAGTGATGGAAGCTGCTTTCAGGAATTTATCTTGGATGACTGCAGCCAGACCCAGCAAGGCAGAGCAGAGGACCAACGCCTGATGAGGCTCGAGCTGGTGCTGGCCAGCTGGAAGGAAGCTGTGGTCTGGCCCATCACATACCCTCATCCCAGCCCAGCCCAGATGGTACTCACAGCTCCAAGATGAGAATGACGTCCGTCTTGCTTTCGTACACCTCGTGCAGGGTGATGACATTGGGGTGCTGGATCTCCTTCAGGATGCTGACCTCACGCTCGATGTCCTCACGGCTCACGCCCCGCCGGCTGGACTTGGTCCTCCTCTTCTTGATGAACTTGGCAGCATACTGCAGGCCAGTGCTCTTCTCACGGCATTTCTTCACGACTGCGAACTGTCCGCTGAAGGGAGAACACAGAATCGTCTTTACTCTTTACTGAAAGACAGGATTTGAGTGAGGATGTGGCATGGGGGGAGGGGGTGTGGAGGAGACAAGAAATTGTGACTAGGACAGGTCATTTTTTTTTTTTAAGAGATGAGGTTTCACTATGTTGCCCAGGTTGTTCTCAAACTCCTGGGCTTAAGCAATCCTCCCACCTTGGCCTCCCAAAGTGCTGGGATTACAGGCTGAGCCACCATGCCTGGCCAGGAGAGTTCAAATGGTGAAAATCGACCAAGTAGGCAGGGATATTTCTTATTTGATCTCTTTTATGAAGCCTGTTTCTTTATGAGCAATGCTGCAAGGAACAAAAATTCTTAGAATATGTTTCATTTTAAGGGTAATAATGTCTACATTTCTGTATCGTCCTTGGTCCTCCTGTTTCAGGTACTAAGATAGAAGCAAGGAGCTCTCTGATCTGACCTCACCTCCAACAAGCCCTTTGCCTGTATGTCTAGTCTTAGAGTCAGGAAGAGAAGGGATTGAGAACAAGGAATTGGTAAAAAAAAAAAAAAAAAAATGTAAGGCCCAGACCTCAGTGACATATTTCTAGCGCTAATGATAATCAATTGAAACACCTAAAACATAAAAAGGTATATATTTTTTTCACAATTAAGGACTGATACATCATAACTACTGAATATTTGTTGGTTGCTTCTCCAGCATAACCCCTCCCCCTCCTTCCCTTACAATTATCTCTGTTGCTGATCTTTGTGGGTCTGGGGAAGCCAATTCCATCCTCAACTATAAATATAGATCACGTGACCTAGGCTGAGACAATCAGTGCACAATATTCTTCTGGCTCCAATGACTGGCCTGTAATTCAGTTGAGACCTTTCAGAGAATGTGGAGAAAGACTCTCTGGACGCTCTTCCCTTCTAGATGTGAACACTGAACTATATAATCCCCGAAGCTGCTGCCAGCCAACTTGGGACCATGAAGACGGCCACTTTTGGTTTGAAGACAATCACTGCAGAAGGAGAGCCAGGAAAAGGAAAGAAACAAAGTCTGTGGCAGCACTGTAGAGAGGATGGATCAACCCTAACCTGAAATCATCTGCCTTTCATTTTTCAATGACATAAGCCAATATTTCCTTTATTGCCAAAAACCAGTTTGATTTGCATTTTCTGTTTCTTGCAGAGAAAAGTGCCCTAAATGCCACAGCAAATAACCAGAGCCTCCTTCCCATATACAAAAGAGTATAATAACAGAACTTGATGCAAAAGAATAAGGTGTAGGGCAGTAAACCAGGTGAGATCTTGGGGTCAGCAGGCTCCCCTAAAAGCCAGTGTAACACAATAGAAAGACTTTCCCGTATCGATGGCATCCTCCATCCTTCCCTAGTACCCAAGGAAGGGTTGGTCCCCCCATCACAGATCTTTTATTTCTTGGCACCTGCTGAGAACAGCTATATTAAGTATTATCACAATTATTTTCTAACTGGCTTCGTTCTTACATGAAGACAAAAGTGAGAGAGAAAAATCAAATTAAGGATAATATTTTGATGTTAAAGAATGGATACTTTAAAGCATTACTAATTTACTTTAGCAGCGGGAGGCTGGTGAAGAAAAAACATGTAGTGAAAGATGAGTTTTTATAGCCGTGCCAAATTTTTTGCATGATAAGTTATTAATACCCTCTTTCCCCCCGCAGCAGGGTAGCAGAGATGCCGAACTCACACCGGAATGCTACCACCGGATGCCTGTAAATGACCTTAAACAGGCATAGGATCTATGCTATGACTTTATTCCAACCATTTCCTAATCTCTCTGGGGAGCGAAAATTGTCCTCTTTATTGGGGAATGGCGGGTGGCAGAGATGGGATATAAGGAGAGAAGAGGGAAACAGCCTGAATACAAAGCCCACCCAGCTGCTGCCTTCAGAGTTCAGCCCCCTCCTCACAAAGATGTCATTGTGTCCCTACCTAGTGCCTGCAAGGGGACACAGGACAGGGAGGTCCAGCCCAGGATATCCAACCAACAGGCATCCCAGGCTGCAGGCGGCTGGGCCCGTGAATGCCTCACACAGGGTCATTGCAACTTGTCTCTGGGGCTTAAGACTCAAGGGAGACTCGGTAGTGTGAATCACAATGCTTTAAAATGTAAAACCAGGCCGGGCGTAGTGGCTCACACCTGTAATCCCAGCACGTTGGGAGGTGGAGGCGAAAAGACTGCCTGAGTCCAGGGGCTCGAGACTAGCCTGGGCAACTTGGTGGAACTCATCTCTACAATAAACAAAATAAAATAAAATAAAATAATCTCGGTGTGGCAGTGCACGCCTGTAGTTCTAGCTACTTGGAAGGCTGAGGTGGAAGGAACTCCTGAGCCCAGCAGGTCGAGGCTGCATGGCCGTAAGCATGCCACTGCACTCCAGTCTGGGTGACAGAGTGAGACTCCAACTCAAGGAAAAAAAAAAAAAAAAAACCAATATCAATGACAACAACAAAAATAAACAAAAAAAACCCCTTTCAGCAGGAACGCCACAAAACATGTAAATACAAGTCTATATTTAAAGACTCTTCTAAGGGTGCTTTCACCCTCAAATGTTCCAGTGTTGAACGCTTCCCTCTTATGTTCATTTTTTGAGACAGGGTCTTGCTCAGTGGTCCAGGCTGGAGTGCAGTGGCGGGATCATGGCTCACGGCAGCCCTGAACCCGTAGGCTTAGCGATCCTTCTGCCTCAGCCTCCACAGTAGCTGAGACTACAGACCACTGGTGCACATCAGAGAGTGGTGGTACACGTCACATAGTGACCACCACTATGTGATGTGCACCACCACACCCGATTGATGCTTTTTATTTCTTGTAGAGACATGGTTTTACTAGTCTCAAACTCCTGTCCTCAAACAATTAATCCTCCCACTTCAGCCTCCTAAAGTGTTGGGATTACAGGCGTGGGCTGGGTCCGTTTTCCCCTTTTAATTATGGGAAGGCAGTAACGTCAAGAGAGTTTAGCCCTGAGGGCAGGCTGAGGGCAGGTGCTGAGTGTTGTGTGTGCCATGAACTGTGGCACCGTTTTGCTTGCAGTGAAACATTAAGAACTTACTCCCTCAATAGATGATGAATCCCTCACTCACACACCAGGGTACCCACAACGGGGGTGATGGTGGAAGAGGAGGAGATAAAAAGCAGCAGATGAAAAAGGCTCCACCCATGGCCAGATGCTGCGGTCTTGGTTCACCCTGACTGAAGAGGGTCAAATGCGGACCTGGGATGCTCTGCTCCTGAGAAACACGCTCTAGACCTATCTCAAAGCCATCTCTTTAAAGATGCCTTCCTTCATTTTTCTCCGACTCTCCTAACAATCTATTCCCCTTCTTCCCATCTCTCCCACATCCCTGAGTCCACAGAGCCCCTCTTACCCTTTGGGGTCACCTGCTGTTTCCTGCCTGTTTTGCCTGTCATGCAATCTCGGACTGTGGATTCCTCAAGAGAGCTGCCAGCCTCAACCTTCCAACTCTCGAGGCCCTGGGGGCAGACCGGTCCCTTGGAGTCTGTACACAACGCAGAAGTGCTGATTCTGAATTCCACATCTCTCATCCTAACAACAAGGGGCGTCAAACAGAAGGTGCTGCAATGCAATTCAATGGAATCATGTAGCAGCTAGGATCACAGACTGCCTGCTAGCTAAGTAATCAGGGGTTTACAGAACCGTGCTATGCCTCAGTTTCCTTATCTGTAAAGTGAGTATCGTTGGAGGGTTGTAGGGGTAGAAGGAGGATGAAATGCACTTACATAAACTGTTTAGAAAAGCACCTGTCCAGAGTAACTCTTCAATAACTGTTACCTGTTAAGAATCCCCAGTTCTTGGGGCTGTTGTCATCAGCCCATTGTTGTTTCCGTCTCACAGGGACGGAAATATCTACCTCTCAAGATCACCAGGGAGAAAAGAGCTCAACAGAACACAAAAGAGAGCTCACAACAGACTGTGATGTGTTAACAATGTGCAAAACTATTGCTACTCTTCAAACACATTATATCCCTTCCCCCGCTTTCTGCCTGTGACGCCCACAGGGTGAGCTGGAGCTCACAGCTGGCAATGCGGACCAGCCCTCGCAGGGGAACTGAGGATCACAAGCTGAGCCAAAGTGCCAGCAGCCAGGCCCACCCAGGGGCCTTTGTGTGCTCTTGGTAACACATTTCCACAGCAGAACCTCCCCTGGCAGCCAGCAAACTGTGGGGACAGGCTCCTCCAGGAGAAATCTTTTCCTGATCACAGTGTTTGCTTTGTGAGGCATAATTCGAGTTGGACTGTTGGTTAATTGCTGCTCGGATCTTTTCCTTCCTGGGCAGCTGGCCCTTGACCCATGGTGCCGTTTCTGCCAGGACTGGGATCCCGTTGGGTCCCCCTAAGAAAACAACACATTTATTTATTTATTTTGGCAAGGACTTCCAAATCGTGGGCTCCGAGAGTAACAACATGATCGAGCTTTGAGGGTGAGCAGAGACCAAGGAGGGAAGAGAATGCACACAAAGCAGCCAGGCCACCCCCGAGAACATTCTGGGGGCCGCTTGTCCCTTCTGCCCTCCTGTCCTTGTACCAGTGCACCGAGGCTGTCAGGAATTAACGCTGACACGGATGGCTGCATTATTAATTAATTAACATTAATACAGTTTTGACCGTTCAATGGATGGGGGGAGGTAGCTTCTTGACCAGAAAAGAGAAATCCTCTGTAAGCTATGACATTTAATTTCAACAAAACAACACAACTGATCCTCATTATTCAAGGATTCCATACCCGTAACTTTGCCTACTCACTAAAACTTTTGTCCTCCCCAAGCCAATATTCATGGCACTTTTGCGGTCACTCATGAACGTATAGGGGTTGGTGAAAACCTGGAGATGCTGATGCACACGTTCCCAGAGGAGGTCAAACCAGGTGATGCTCTGGCTTCTTGTGTCAGCCCTCACACAGGAAACAAGCATGTCTTCCTCAGCCTACCAGAGTGTGGAAGTGCTGGC